GCAGTCGCTCAACCAACTGAGCCACCCAGGCGCCCTCAAAGTACTTTTCTAGTATTAGGTAAGATGGATTAATTACCCTGTCTGGAACAAAGTGATTCAAGCCAAGTCCATAGGCGTACGTGTAAGGTTTCCCACCATATTTCTGATAATTGATTTGAGGAAACTCGAATGCTACAAAATAGAGGACATGCTTAGGAAAACTCAGTTAATCTCTGAATGGAACAGTTTGTTCCCCTCTAAATCCTCTCACCTTGGCGAGGCCCTGCGAAGAGAACCTCAGGCTCCAGCCAGATGGTCTCGTCACTGCACAGAATTGCAGTGGCAGTTGTGTTGGGGAGTGTGACTAAGTTCTTGCCTGTGTCAGCCTAAGGAAAATGGATAAGAGACACCTCAGTGAGAAGGAAAGAAAAATCACGCAGCCATAAACGCAGTCTTCCTGAGTTTTGTGCCCTGCTTTCTTTGTTTCTTCTGTCAGTGTGCAGGAAGGAGCAGTGCAGAAAGCTGTGAAACGTAAGCCCAGTAACACAACTGGGAAAGTTGCCTGTGTCTGTGTTAGTCACTGGCTGCGAACCGCTGGGAATGTCGTGTAACCTCTATGCCCTCTAGGCCTTCACATCTCTACAATGAGATTGTCCTCAAAGAAAATGTAGGGCTCTGAGGAAGGGCCTCTGAGGACAAAAAATGTTTTTTTTTGTTGTTGTTTGTGTGTTTGGGTTTTTTTTAGTAGAACAGCAAAAGACTTCAAACTCTATGGATTCATTTATAGTGTTTATCTCCTTTACAGTTAGGATATATTTTGATTTTGCTTGAAAAAAATCATACAGTTCTGTTGTCAAAAAGAAAAAAAATATACAGGAAAACTACTGGATCGGATGTTGTCTAAGATCTCTTGTCACCCCCTTATCCCTCCGGTCATGAGCGCTTTCTAAGAACACATTTATTTCTTAATACCTGTATCAAATACTTGAGTACATGTTTTGTGCTTGACTCTATTCTAGACATTTGGGATAATTCAGAGAATAGGGTTCCAGTCCTCGTGAAGCTTGAATTCTAGTTTGGGGACATAAACAATAAATATAATTAATAAAGTATATAATATATCATGAGTGCAGGGAGAAAAATAATACAGCAGAGTTAGGATCAAAAGTATGAAGTGTAGGTAAGTTATAATTTTAATAGGTGGTCAGGGTGGGCCTCCTTGAAAAGGTGACATTTGGGACAAAACTTGTAGGAGGTGAAGAAATCAACAGTACAGATATCTAGGGAAGAACATTTAAACAAAGAAAACAGTGCAAAGGCCTAAGGTTGGAGGATGCCAAATATACTTGATGAACATTAAAGAGACCAGTGTGGCTGCAGCTGACTGAGCCTGGGGAAGAGGAAGAGAGGAGGGTAGAGGGGAGATTATGTACAGCTTTATAGGTCCTTTTGAGGACTTGGTCTTTTACTCTGAGTGAGAGATGGGAAGCTACAAAATGATTTGGGGCAGAGGACTGACATGCTCTAATATTTAAAAGAATTGCTCTGGCTGTTCTCTTGAGACTACCCTTGGGAGTAGGGGGGATGCAAGAGTGGAATTGGGGACATCAGTTTGTCCAGTCAAAAGAAAAGAGAAGTCCAGACTAGGCTAGTAGCACTGGAGTCAGTGAGAAGTGGAAGGCAGAGCCATGAGGTTTTCCTGATAGATAGGCTATGGGGTAGGGAAGAGGTGTGAAATTAAGACAGAAGTCAAGGATGACTCCAAGGTATTTGGCCTGAGAATTAAAGGTTGGAGCCGTGGCAACAAAGGTGGCGGCTACTGCAGGTGGGGTAAATTTTTTTGGTAGAGGAAGAGAAGAAATTTAGATTTCATCTTATTAAGCTTAAGAGGTCTATTGGACATCCGAATGGAGACGTGGAATTGTCAGTAGCATATATAAACCTTGAATTGAAAGGTAAGTTGAAAATGTAAATGTAGACTGCTTTAAAGCATGAGTCTTTACAAAGGAAGTGAATGTACAAACAGAAGATAGAATGAAGGGCTGAGTTCTGGTGCCCTCCAACATTAAGGGGTCTATAAAAAAAAGAATGAGGATAGCTCAGGGGGGCAAGAAGAGTCAAGAGAAGGATTTTGTAAGAGGGCAAAATAATAGCATGATATGAATGACCCAGTGAAAAAGAAGGGAAAGTAATGATAAAGGAGAGGGGAGAGAATCACTTGAGGGATGTCCTTGAGTGGGTAAGGAAGGGAAAATGGGAAGGACTAGTTCTGGATGGGATGATAAATAATTCAGTACAAGTCCAGATGCTGGTGGGTGGGTAGATGTGGTGGCAGGAGTCTAACGTTCTTTTTTGATTTCTTTCATTTGTTTCAATAAAATAGGAAGCAGAGCCATCAGCTGAGTATGAGTGTGGAGGTGGGAGGTGTTAGAAGTTTGAAGAGAGGAGGGTGTGAAATACTTAACTAGCAAAGTGGGAGAGTAAATGAAGTTCAGAAATAAAGCAGTGAGGTTTGTGGTCATGTATTTAAAAATGAACCAATTAACATGATTGTGTGTTTTCAGCACTTAATTTCATCCTTAGAGATACAAGTGTAGAGTGGGTGGAGAGTTGAATTTAACTAGGTGGGGGGATTATGGTTTTGACAAATGAGTTCAATAAAGTAAGAAAGAGGCAAGAAAAGTGAGGATCTGTATAAGATTAAAATTGTTGACGATGGAATTTTAGTTAAGTAATGAGGAAAAGTAAGTTCTCAGGGGAATGAGGTACGGTGAGAAGGTAGTAGGTTCAGTGGATTGGAGGTTTCTGGTGGGAATTGCAGTAGGGCAAGTGATCTTGAAAGACAGGAGGTGGTAGTCAGAGCATATCATGCATGAAACTAAGATTATGGAAGAAGCACAGTCATAGGTAATGGCAGGGTCAAGTGTATGACTATGGGGAGTGAGTGGCTGACATAGAATGGAAGACAAGATCAGTGGAAGAGGTCAAGGAATTGAGAGGCCAGGTTGTTGGAAGAATCACCTATGATGTGTATATGGAAATGACCAAGAGTCAGTAGATCTGGGGAGTGTGACATTGAGCCAGGAAGGGGAAGTGAGTGAGTGGCGGTTCATAGACAACAACAGTAATGAGGGGTGTATATATGTACATATGTATATACCACTTAGCTATATAATTAGCTGAAATGAGATTAAAATTGGAATATTTTAAGAGTGGATAGAAGGAACAATGAATCTGGAAACAGAGAAGTGGAACAAAGAGAACACCTACCCCAACCCCAGGTCAGGTGGCATAAGGGCTGTAGGAAGAGACTGGAGAGATCAGTGTCCTCAGGAGAGAGCCAGGTTTGTGTTTTTTGAAGATTTTATTTATTTATTTATTTGAGAGAGAAAGCGAGAGAGAGATAGCACAAGCAGAGGGGAGCAGGAGAAGCAGACTCCCCGCTGAGCTTGGAGACCGACTTGGGGCTCCATCCCAGGACCCTGGGACCATGACCTGAGCCGAAGGCAGATGCTTAACTGACTGAGCCACCCAGGTGCCCCCAGGTTTTGGTTTAAAAAATAGAAGGTGAAAGGAACGTTCTGAGAACAGTATATAGAGGGGTTTTTTCTGGGGGAATTAAGAGGGAATAGTAGAAGATTCTTAGGATAGGCAAGGGATAGGAGGTAAGGAGCAAATACAGAAATGATGAGAATTTTATGAGATTTTGTGAAATGGAGCCTCAAGGCACTTTGTGGTATTTTGGGGAAGAAGAGATCAAATGCCTACGTCAGACATATTATTTATATACTTGTAAGTTTAAATTGATTATCTTCATTCTTATTTTTTCTATTACTAAATTACATTTTTTATGTAAGAAATCTGTAACATTACTTTTGCTTTCCCCAACAAACTAGCTCCTCATTTCAACTCCCCACCCCCCTTTTTTTTAACAGATGCATTTTTCCTTTAACCCAAAATCTCATTTCTGAGGATCTAATCTATTCATATATCTGTGCATGTATGAAATGACATACATACAAAGTTACTCCTTATTACATTATTGGTAATAGCCAAAGATTGGAAACAATTCTGTTGTGCAGCAGTGAGGGACTTGGGTATGTTCACAGAAAGAATACTGTGCAGTTCAAAACAGCAAGATCTTTAGCATATATATTGTTAAATGAAGAAAGCAGGGCACAAAACAATGGATATAGAAAGTTACTTTTTGTGTATGAGAATGGGAAATAATAATTATATATTTTCTTATATTTGCATAAACAAACCAAAGAAAAGGAAAGACATGAAAAGTTACACATAGGAAGTGAATGGGGATGGTATGGACTAGATACAGGAGGAGGGTGGAGTGAGATTTCCCACTTTGCATATAATTTTGATTTTTGACCATTTAAATGCACAGCCTATTCAAAAAAATATAAAGATATATTTTAAAGATACTACCATTATCTTAATTAGCAAACTGGAAACTTCACTAATCTTAGACCCTTTTCTCTCCTTAGTCCTTCCCTCAATCTCTTTCTTACCTCTCCTAATTTATGACCGATTTTTCCCTTCACTGCCAAATTTTTCAAAGTGTGGACTTACAGTAACTGCTCCCATATCCTCCCAGGTGCTCACCTTCAGTGCCTTGAATCCTGATTTCTGCCTCCCTTATCCTCATCCCTTGGAGATCACCAAATTTGGTGTTTGGCTTTTAGTCTTCATCCTTTTTAACTTGCCCATAGCACAGTGGGCACTGATAAAACCCTCTTGCCCTATCCTGTGTAGGATTGTCCTCTCTTAGCTCTAGCTAGGGCTCTTTGGTGACTTTCTCTCTCTCTCTCTTTCTGGTTCCTCTTTTTTGTACTTTCTGTACGTGAGACTTCCCAAACTTCTGTGCCTGGCCATCTTTTCTTCTCTTAGCATTTTCTGGGCTATCAAATTCTTCATTTTTAAAATAAGCAACTGTGTATGGTTTTTTTTTTTTTTTTTAGAAAACTTATTCTAAAGTATGACTTTTCCCTGCTAGCAGTCTCATCTATCTATTCTTGTATGTTTGATCATCATTTCAACATCAGTAACTATTGACCCTGATTGGCCTCACAATGTCCTTCATTGACATATGAAAGCCTATGTGACATCTTTCATGAAAATGTTTTGATACTGATTTTGTTGTTGTTGATGATGATAGGGGATATTTATTTAATATTTCCTTTGTGTCAAGGACTATATTTAATAATTAACATATATCAACTCATGTATCAGCCACAACAACCCTGTAAGATGGATACAGATAAGGAAAAGGAAATTTAAGAAGGTTAAATGTTTCTCCTCATAGATAGAGAGAAGGAAATTTAAGGTTAAATCACCCAGTTAGTAAGTGGCAGAGCTGAAACTCAAGCCTGGCTCTATATGACTCGAAGTCAACCTCCCCACCCATTATCCTCCCCTTCCTCATAGTTCTGCAATTCATGTTTTTCTCCACAGCTGCTCTACCCATTATACTCCCTATTTCCAAAGGTATCACTTTAGACACATAGGCTTACAGGATCTCTATGATATTTTGCATGTCTAAGATTTAATTCATTCTGCTATTCAATCAAATGCAAGACCCTTTTAATTCTACCTATAGGAACTCTTATTTTTGTGTTTGCCTGTTCCTAGTACCACTACATTTTTCTCTCACCTGAGTGATTTTAATTGTCTTCTATCCCAGGGTCCTATCTCTGTCTTTTGTACACTTCCAGTATCACTTATGCACAACACAGACTTGTTTTAGAAAATCACGTTATTGGAAGCTGCAAATGACCCTAGTCATTACTTAGTCCAATTTTGTTAGATTTCAGAGCTGGCAACTGAACTTAGAATGATTGAGTGACTTGCTTGGGGAAGCCAGACATTTAGTAGAAGAGAAAACCATGAAAGTCAGTCCACTTGGTACCCCAGTCCACCAGCTCTGAATGTGGTTTTCTTCTGTTCAGAAACCTTCACTGCCAAATAAAGTACGACCTCTTGGCCTGGCCTTAAAGCTTTTGAAGAGTACAAGTCTGCTTTTTAAGCTTTTTTAAAATCCCCCCCCCATTTATTCCACTACTTATGCTTATGTTCTAAGGAATTGGATTGCAGTCAGTTCCCTCTGCTCTTCTGCCCCTCCCCATTTCTGTCTTTTTTCAAACTCTTCCTCCTGTCTTAAGTTGATCTGCTTCAGTTTCTTCTGCCAGAATATTGCAAATGACTGTGTTCCATGAATCTCTCCAAACAATTGTGACTTACTGTTCCATTCTCTGAATAGCCAAAGCAATTTATTCCTCCCTCCCACTACTTATCTCTTGCCAACATGTGTTATCATTACCGAATCACCTTCCTCCTTCCTACTACACTAGGTAATGAGTTCCAGAACAAGAGCGTATCCTATTGATGTACGCACTGAAGGAACTGGTACAATACAGTGTTACAGTGGTTAATTCACAACTATTGGGAGAGAGTGAAAGCAGGGTCTATGGTGACATTAGACATTTTTTCATCACTGAAGTTCTCTATTTCATAATTGGGTGGTCTTTCTTCAGGCAGTGATGACTACACATTTATGAAAATCTTTCCTTTTTCCTCTTTTCGGTTGTGAAGAGAGTGAGGTAAGGGATATTTAAATTAAATGATCTTATTTCCTTAATGTAAAGATGATTGTGATTTTCCCATTACTAGTAAAATAAGAGTTTACTAAAATCACTGGACTCATTCATTTGGTATTTTTGTGGGCACTCAACTAGGTACCAGAGATATGCTTCCCAAGGGCAAAGTTAGAGTGCTTAAAGCCCCATGCAATGTCATTCCAACCTTCTTTCCAGTCCCTCTGCCCAATGCCCATCTCTCCTCTGTCCTAATGTACCAGCTCCACCAACTACTTTATATATTTTTTTATATTAAGTTTTGCTCTTTTAAACCTCCCTGCCTTTGTAGAAGCTCATTTACCTAACTACCTAGTGCCCCACCTCAACTTCCTCCTCCTTTCTTATCCTTTATAGAGCTTACGAACTTGCTTAAGAGCAGTAGTGTCTGGTTCTAAATTGGGTTTATTTTCCACTATATTTGATCTAGTTTTGAGTACAATGTTTTATATTCCATGTAGCTGCCTTACCCACTTTTGTGTGTATATCTCATATATACATAAATGACAGTGTATGCTCATGTATCTATTGTGAAAATTCTATTTGTCTTGATTTTGACTGGCATTCTATTACACAAAAACTAATTGATGTTAATCTAATATTCTAAAAAGACAGCCACTGAATACAAGGAAGAAAAAGTAGAAATAAAAAGATGACAGCCGAAGGCTATTAATGATGTTTGTCCTCTATTGATATTTTTAGAAGGTTTGCAGAAAACCAAAATAATGGGCTGATTTCCCTAAAGGGGTACTTTTTAATGCTTCATTTCTTTAGAATTTCAAATTATTTAAATTAAATTATTTATATTATTGACAGAGGATCCTAGGACTCAGTGGTCTGCCCTATTCCCTGAGAAAATGTATTTTGAAAGGGATTTGCAAATGAAAGAACAGTGCATCAAAACCTGGTTTTCATTTTGGCTCTGCTGCAGTTGGCTTTTGCTAAGTCATGTCACTCTTCTGAGCTCCAGTTTCCTCATTTGTTAAATGAGGGGAGTTGAATTAGTGTATTTTTAAAGTTCCTTCCAGCTCTGAAATTTCAAGATTTTATGTATAAACATAAGGCAGGAGAACAAATCCGGATATATCTGAAATCTGTGCAGAGGGCAGTTACCTTGTCAATATTCAGAGGAAGCACGTATCTCCTCACTTCAGGCTGGGGAGCCTTTCTGGCATTTTTTTTCAGCTCTTCCCAGTTCTTACGTAAATTGGCTAAATATAAGTAATTATAAACAAATTCAAATCTGCAAAAGTAAGAAGTCAGACATGAGCCCAGACAATTGCAAATAATTTCAGAGAGATGATCCATGCCTTTTAAAAGAACAAGTGCCTGCCTGTTCTGTGTGGCTTTTTTTTTTTTTTTTTAAGATTTATTTATTTATTTTAGAGAGAGAGAACAGGCAAGCAAGCACTGGGTAGGGGGTAGGGGCAGGGGGAAGGGCAGAGGGAGAGAGAGTCTTAAGCAGACTCTGTGCTGAGCATAGAGCTGAGGTTAGGCTCGATTTCACCAACCCTGAGATCAGGACCTGAACTGAAACCAAGAGTCGGACACTTAACCGACTGTGCCACCCAGGTGCCCCAACCTGCCTGTTTTTTTATTCTCCAACCCAGAAACTGCTAATGACCCAAGTATATTAGAGCCATTTCCTCCTGTCCATGGTGCATGAAAAACAAACAAACAAAACAAACAAACCTGCCTCACCAATATGTTTACATAAGAGCAGCTTTTGATACTTTCTGTTCTGTTTCTCCATCATCATTCTGTCTTTACGGGCTACTATCTTTTTAAGTGACTTGGTATTCTCAAGAAAGCGTGCCTCTTTCTTCCAAACCCAGAGTGGGTAGAGTTCAAGGCCCCCCAGGGGAACTTGTCAAGTTGCAGTGAGGTTAAGTTTAAATTTACTTATCAGGTCATAGCACGTTTTATTTTCAGATCAGGTTCATAGACCTGATCAGTTTTCAATCATTAACCATGGTTTTGATGTTCAGTTTACGATTGCTTCTGATTACCTAGCCTCCCTACTGCTTTTTCAATTATATTCTGTGACTTAAGCACACTTCTTGCTTTTTTTAGCTGTAATTCAGATTTAATATTGAGAGCAGCATCTCTGAAAACGGCCCCTAATTTCTAGGCATGACTGGGAGATGTAACATTATCCAGTGTCCTTTCTTACCCTTTCCAGCAACAGAGATCCACAATCAGAAACTCATTGTCTTCATAAGTATTGATGTGATGGAAGAGATTAAAAGAAGAGGTCCTGTATTTATTATTGAGACACTTTCTTCTTTTTTTGTCAGCAATATGAAGCCAAACCTTGAAAAGTGAGGAGAAAATTTGTTGCATTTAAAAAGGAAAACAGATATACATTATGAAATGCCTTCTTTGGAATCATAAACTTGACAAGTAAATGCACAACTTACCCCCATGGTTTCATTGGATTCAAAACAATCTATGTAGTTGGCTCCCCAAAGACTCCATGAAGAAAGGAACTTGAACAGGTTAATTTTGACTGGCGTCTCCACAAAAACAATATAGTTGGGAGTCAAACCAAAACTGTTTAGAAATGCAAATAGACTTGTGAATGGGAAGGGCTGATTCTCAAACCACAAAGAAATATGTGCACATGAGGTATGAATCAACAGTGCCTACATGAGATTAATTACATTTAAATTTAGGTTTCTGCAAGAAAATGTCGTGATCAGGATTGGTATCAAAGGCAGGCAAAGCAGATCTTTAAACTTGAGTTTTCCTGAAGATTCATAGCAGGCCTTCAAGTTACCTATGGACGTAAGATGGCTTGAATCGGTCACTGCAGGGGAATTGTACAACGACCTCTGACTTGCTTATTGGATCTTCCTTGTCTGAAATAAAGCGGTTTTAAAAGGCTTTGGAAAAGCCTTTTTTCCCCTCTTTTAATACAAAGCATTTAGAACAGCTCATGCAAGTAAAGAAATACATTTTCAGATCTTGATTTTTTTTTAGGGCTTATTTTCCTTTTCTCGGTCATTGGCATTTCTTAGGGAAATTTCATGTGGAGCTACAGTCACCCAGGAAAATCCAAACAGCAGCAGATTTGGAAATGTGTGCTCAGTGTTGTGGCAGGCAGAGGACCGTGGGGTCCCATCTTAACAACTGGAGGTGGTAGGTGCTAAGTCAGTGAGTAAGGCAAAAGTGTAGTATGGTCAAAATGCCTTTCGTAATCTCTTAAGTTACCTGCAAAGTATAGTGTATGTGGGTTTGTCTCATTAGTTCTGTACAGTAATTCTTAAGCACAGTAAAGTTTGTTTCCTACTATGTTAGTGGTCTTCAAACCTTAGTGTGCCTCAGAATCATATAAAGAGCCCCTTAAAAGTGTAATCGTGGGCTCACACCCAGAATTCCTCCTTCAGTCAACCACAGATGGGGCTCTGGATTTCTAGCGGCTTCCCCAAGTGATGCTGCTGGTCCGGGGACTACACCTTGAGATCCATGCTATGCAATGCTATATATATAGATTGAATATATATATATATATATTTAAATCTATATATATTCACTCTATATATATTCAAATAATTCTGTCACCAAGATGGTTATCAAACTTCTGGCAGTGAATGGAGGATAAATGGAGAATTCTAAAGAGTGCTCTCTTTTCTGTTTTAGTATTATTTCTCTATAATATTAATATGAGTTAATAGATTTGTTTGTGGCTTTGGGAATTAAACACACACAGAATACTTTGTACCCTCTCATGTTTCTGTGTGTGCTATGATGCATATGCATATGTTTGTTTAAAAATTTAATTTTGCCTGGAACATGAATAAGGGCTCAATAAGTATTTCCTGAATTTGAATCTAACTCTTATATGATCAAATACTCATATATGCTACATTTTTGAAACATTGTAGAATACGATTTGGCCACTTGCTTTCTATATTTTCAAGTCGTCATTTTCTGCTATGGTGCTTCTGGGCATTGGTCCCTGGTAGGGCAATCTGAAAGTAATTTAACTGTGCATCTGTAGTGTGATCCTGATACTCTGATCTGGTATCCCATTTCCAGGAATTTTCTCACAATATAGATACTTGTTTTAAGAAGAGTCAAATTGGTAAACTGACCTGCTTGTAGTGGAGGGATCTTTACAATATTGTAGGCAATTGAAAAATTTTTCCCAAAGCAATTACCAATGTTGTAAACAGTTCCATCACTTTCAATATGGGGGTGAGCAGTGGCTCCATTGATAGAGACATAGTTGCAAAGATCAACCTATGGAAGGAGAGCAGATGTCATCCATGTAAAGAGAAACACTGTTTTACCCCTTGGTCTCTAGGTCTAACCTTACTGCTACCACTTGCCTCCTCACCCAAAATGCATTTTCTCTTTCTTTCCATCTTTCTGGGTTCTACCCTCTTTCAAGTCTGCCTGAATTCCTCTTTTCAGTGCACAGCTCTCCTCTGACCCTCATGCTGAGCCCCAAACCTCTGAAATCTTGGAGATCTTCCTGACTGTGTTCTTCATTGTATACCATACACTGCTCTGGTTAGTTACTTTCCTTTTGCACATGCAGATTGTCCTCAAATGGATAATGTGAATCCTGGGATTTCTTTATATCCCCCCTATTGTATTAGATGAATTGTGTGAAATTGCTGAGATATACAATAATTTTTATTTTACAAAAATGGCCATTTTGTATAGTATAACCTAAATACCACATCCAGTGGCTTGCACAGAGTATAAATTTGGAACTGAAAGAAACCCCAGGATTCTATTTCGTACAGAGTCAACCTAAATAGACTTCAGGAGAACCATGAATCTCCTGGAATTAAATGCAAATGTTTTTGGAGAAAAGATTTAGTGCTTTAATTCAATTTGGAGTCTCATAAGAAATTCAGAATCACAAATCTAACATAAATCTCTCTGTGTACAGAAAGAGAAATTGAGGTCTAAGAGAGGTCAAGTGATTTTTTTCAAGGATACAGAGCCACACACTGGCAAAATCAGCACTAGAATTTCTACCGTGACTTGTTCAGTACAGATTTATTGAATGAATAATTGATGGGGTATATATTTAACCAAAATTTTTTTTATTTGATTAGGAGAATATTTTTAAAGGGAGTTTTTAGTATTCTTATTTAAATAATAAGTAAGACATTCATTCATTCGATCATTCATCAAGTACTCATTGAACTTCTATTATTACTATGCCAGGGTCAAGAATTCAGTCTAGACTTGTGCTGCCCAAAATGGTAGTAGCCACACGTAATTTAATGTGGATTGATTTTGATTAGATAAAATTTTAAATTTCCTCAGTCACATTAGCCACATTTCAGGTACTCAGTAGCACTTGGAGAATGCACATATAGAACACTGCCATCATTGTAGAAAGTTCTATTTTATAGTACTGTTAGACCAATAAGCTGGTATATAATATAGTGCATTGCTGGTAAATGCAAAATGGTATCTGTAGAGAAGGGTCATCTAACCCAGACTGGGAGATTAGGCCAGGCTTCCCAAGGGCAATGACTCCAACTAATGCTTGAAAGACAAGTAAAAGTTAGCCAGGTGGAGAAGGATGACAGGTGTTTCAGGGAGTGGGAACCCTAACGTACAAGCATTGAACTGTGAAATAGCAGGTGCTGTTTGGGGATTACTAGTCTGTAATCTGTGAAAGGCATGCACGGAGGAGGAGAAATAAGAACCAGTCAGCCACAATGCCCTGTTTGGACTTTATCTTGGGAACTGTGGGTGCCTCAGATAGAGTAACACATTTATACTTGTATTTTAGAAAAATTGCTTCTACTGAATTAGGGAAGTTGTATTTAAGAGAATCAGGCTGGAGGCAAAGGCACTGATTAGGAGGCTATTTTAGTAATAGTAATAAAAAAATCAAGTTTTAAAACTATATTTTTATATGAAGTCAAGGCACACTGATACAATGAAACTTGACCCCCCATTAAAGGCTATTTTGGAGCCGTACATGAACTTTACGTTTGCAATTATAGTACCATAGCAATTTGAGTACAGATTCACTCATCAGAGTTAAATGAATGGTTTAGAATTCAGTTTCAGTTCTTCTCCAAATTATCTAACACATACTCTTATATGATTACAAACATACATCAAAAACAAGAAAGAGCTATGGAAGAGGATATGTTAAGCCTTAGTAAATAGTCTGCTGAGAATTATAAATTAGCTAGTGACATTGAGACCTAGGGTTGGGACTATTTTTCCTTTCTATTTCTACTACACTGAATTTCTAGTTCTGGTTCTTAAATTCCACCTAACTTGTCTCCTAGCTATCCCTTATCTCTTTTGTTCTCCCATATAGTTTATGCATGCCTTCCAGGTTAAATATCCTAAAGCACAGCTCTGCTTATACCATTTCTCCAAGCAAAAACTTCCAGTAGCTTCCCATTAGCTAAACAACTTATTCCAAGTTTTTGTCTTACCCAGGTTGTCTTACCTATTGATATATCCTTTGCACCTAGTATAAATTTTGATACATGGAAGGGACTCAGTTTGTGTCACAAATGAATAAATGAATATGTTAGGCATTTTATAAGGTTTTCCTCCAACCCATATAATAAGTGTTTAAAATTGATGAAGAAACAAAGTTTGCCCTGTGTCACATAGCTAGTCGTTGATAACAAAGCAAGGAGGTGAAAATCTATCTGGCTCTCATGTTCTTTCCCCCAAATTGCAGTTAATTCTAAACTGCAAATTCTAACTTCTTGAGCAATGTTGCCTGAGCATTGTGTCCTACCTGCTTAATTGTCTCCAAGGTCTCGGGATTAATCTTTGTAATGAAGTTGGTCTCTGTGCAGGCATAGTAATCTTCCCCTACTGGGTAGACGTTAACGAGGGCATTGTCAGTGACCTCCACTCCTCGAAAGTAAGAAAAAAACCTGCAGAAGCAAATGGATTTCTCAGTCCAGTAACTTTCAAGCCGTGAGAGAAAAGGGCTAATGTAAAATGTCTTTAATAACATGCAGGCAAGTTTCAGTAACCTGGAAAATATATTCTTGCAGGGATCTGGGAAAGCACAGGTGCCAAATTCCGTCATGACGATTCTTTTCTCCGTCATTGCCCGGACATAAGCATCAGTGCGGATGAACCTGAAGGACATGGAGACATGGGAAAGGGTCATAGGCAGGGGCAATCAGTGTGGTCCATATGGAGCTGAGAATGGTCATTCCGTGTGTCCTTAACAAGTTGGAACCATAAATCCACAACATGAAAAATGAGGAGTATTGTCAGGTCACTTGCTCAGAGCGACTAAGAGAGAAAGAGACAATGTGCTATGAGCTTAAATTTATGTCTTATAAACCTCACAGTGACAGATGAGGAAATTGAAGCTCATGGCTTGGACTTGTCGTGTCCAGCTGAGAAGTTAAGCCGTTGGCATATGTGATGGAGCTGGGTTAGAACTCAAGTCGGCCAGGGCCAGGAAACGTGCATTTCTCCATATCACACTATGCAGCCTCCATGGGTCGTTCACATAGGACCTCTGACTTCCTGTAGCCTATAACATACCAACCTAACACTGAATGGAGAAATACAGAACATGGTGTGCTGAATTATATTCCTTTCAATCTCCCTTATGTCGCTCTTGGTTTTTTTCTTCGATTTAAAAATTTATTTTGCTAGTTTTAAAAGTAAGTGTTCTTGAATCCAATATCTTGCACAGACAACTCCGCAACCATATCCCATACGTTGCCTAGGATTTCTCATGTGGAAAGCCAATTAAAATCTGATTTTGCATTTCTTCCAATGCATATAATAAAGTTTAAAATTTCATGAATGAAGAAACAAAGTCGAGAAGAGGAAAAAGTGCCAAGGTCTTTAGGGGGCATATGAAAGCTTTGTCTGACTTCTTAGCTAAATTTGTGCTTGACCTGATCTATTTCTCTTCTATTACAGTCTGAGTTATCCTGACTATGGCAAGCCTTCATTTGCTCTTCCTTTTGGTGTCTCTTCAGAATTCCTGATACCTGTGGTGATCAACAAAGCCTCTAACAGGTCTGAATATTAAAGCAAAAGCAATTTATTGTGGTGTTAATGGATACTTGGAGTGAAGGCCTAGGCCTTGGAGCCTTTTCACAACAATCTTCCGTTCTTAGAAAACTTCTTAATAATACATTATATGTTAAAAAAAAAAGAAGAAGAAAATAAGAAGGGAAAAATGAAGTGGGGTGGGAATCGGAGGGGGAGACGAACCATGAGAGACTATGGACTGTGAGAAACAAACTGAGGGTTCTAGAGGGGAGGGG